ATTATCTGAGGCGTTTCATATATATACTGTTTGATAGTTTATTTCTTTCTCTCTTTCTAGAGCCCGGCGTTACATGGCAATGTTCAGACTCAGTTCAGACCGGTCTCGGTGACCTCGACACCAACACCGACACTGTCGCCGAGTTCGAGCTCGTCCTATTCCGACGCGCGTCGTATACGTGTTCTATAATACGAAAAGAAAGGAGTTAGAAGTCTAAAAACAATTATAAATTTAAAGAAGCTTACATGAAAAATAACCACATGATTCATTAAAAGTATAAGATAATTCAAAACCTATGAACCTATATAAAATATATGATCAATTAGATGTGGATCGTCGTATTCTTTAAAAAGTGGCCTTCAAAATGCTTAATTATCTTTAGAGCAAAAAAAAAAACAACGGCTTTATTAGAAATACACCAAAGACAAGTTTTTTCATCTAATAATTTCTAATAAAATAATTATTTCTGAAAACTTGTTTATACTCTGGAAGTGTTATTTTGTAAGTACCTGCTTGGCAAATTATAAATAGAACATCCGGGGTTGAGCGTATAATAGTGAAAAGACCCCACGACACAAACAAAGTCATAAAAATTCTTTGTCCATTGTCCCTAAAACGGGACAAGGTTTTGAAGAATTCCTTCGTCGAATTTGGATTTTATAAAGACGTTTATAAAGTGATGATGGTTACCAAAAAAATTAGAGTGATTTAATATTTAGTTTTATTAAATTTATTTCATCTAATGAAAAAATAATGCTCAACTTCCGTATTTACCATACAATACATCAGATGTTTGAGGCGTGCATTCGGACTTTCCCTTTTTTCGGTATTTATGTTTATTGCACTTCACAGTGAAGCATCCCAATATTTCCAGTTGGTTCTCAACTGCCGAAACTTTCTCGTGTATCCGTTGCTCACTTCATTTTTAACGCAGTTTTGTGAAAATTTCTGTACAGTGTGGGTTATACTTATTTACACTAGGTAAGTTAATATCTAATAAAGTAATCATTTTAATTTTTACATGTTTCTGTTATTTTTGATAACAGTACGTAGATAACAAAAGCAGTTTTTTTAAGAAAGACCACCATTAATCACTGAAGATACTCCCACTGATTATGAAGAACTTACGGTGATTGTTTTTGAAAATGAGGCGCCATAAAAAAAAAGGTATATTACCGCAATTATTTATGTACTAATGCTAATGAACATAGTTTTATTCTAGATTTGAAACAAATACAAAACACATGTGCGAAACGAAAGAAATGCTAAAGGAAACGAGTGAAAAAATCTCCAACATGGAAACGTCATCAAATCTGACAACTGAAAAAGAAAACAAAAATAGAAGTTATGCCGCCAAGACCACACCTAAACAAATTTTGACGAATTACAAGATTATCTTTGCCTATTAGAATAAGCAGATTTCTTTGTAAGTTAAAAAAATACAATGAATTCATATATACATATAACATAATTGTTCCGGCTCGAGGGACCATTGTTCCGGCTTGAAGTGCCAATGTTTCGTACAATCCGAATCGTAGTACCAACGTTTTTTGTAAACCGGTTGATACGACCATGTATGGTCTTCCGAATTGTACCTTGATATTGCTCGAAGGACCTTTGTTTGTTATAATTGAAATAATGGACAGCGTTCGGTTTTGATGTTTAATATAGGACGGTTACAGAAGTACTAAAATTACAATGCTATTTACAAAATCAGGTAAAGATACCCAAAAGGGTCAGTGGCCGCTTCCGGAAATGCAACACATAATATTGGATATTATATACAGGTAGATGCCTGTAATACTACGATATTTTTGATAACTTACTATACATGGCACATTTCGCTTCATTGTAAAAAGTATTGACAACGAGATTTTCCTGATAGGCTATACGTTTTTGTCAATGCAACCATTTTACGATTATCCGTTAGATTCAAGTAAATTTAGCATTTTTAAAATGCAGAATTTGTCTTCTGCTTTAAGCTGTAATCCCTTAAATTTAATAATTTGGCTATTATTGCCCATAGACGAAAAAATTATTGCATTTCCATTAATCCATGCACTCTAATGGGTTTTTCTTTTCAGTGCAATAAATTAAGGCAAACTTAAAAAAGTTAGGTTATTAATATGATTGTTAAAACAGAATTAATTCTTAACGGTATTTTTTTGTGTGTTGGGGACAGTCAAGTCGTCGTGAATTAGAAAGTTTTACGAGTAAGTGTATTTTCAAAGCAAGTAACTTCGACAATACGATTCAACTGTCTTTTCCCTTTATTCTAGTTTTTTTTTTATATATTTTTTGTAAATAGATTTGTTTGTGTTTTTAAGACTGATTTATAGTTTATTATAGTTTTCTTTTAATATTCTTTGTAACTAAATAGATTTCTTTGTGTTTTTAAAACTGATTTTTCTTTAAATAGCATATTTTATTGCAACGTTTATTTTTGATTATATATTGTATATTATCCTTTTTTTTGTTTATAGTAATTTGACTCGTAATTACCTGTATGTAGATTTGTTTGTGTTCTTAAAAGTAGTTTATCATTAATTTGTTTAATTGACATATATTTTTTTATTTGTTTATTGAAGTTAATTGACCTGACCTGACCTGACCTGACCTGACCTGACCTGACCTGACCTGACCTGACCTGACCTGACCATCATTGGTACGTCAATATCACGTGAAATCTTTGGTCACTATGACGTAATTGATGACCATTTATTCACGTGAAAAAGACGACATCATGTTGGCTGAGCCCTACTCCCTACGCAATCTTCGCATGTCTGGATTTTCTGCTACAACGTTTAAAACTTCGAGTTCCCCATTAATTTAGTGTTTGGTTGGTTCTTTGACGACTCCAGTGCGAAAAATCTTCCATTTTCTTGGAGACGCTGAACAACGGCATTGGAAGTTCCATGGTCTGGTAAATTCCGACTGGGGAAACACAAATACGATGATTTTAAACATGACTTCACTTCATGTTCCCTTGGTACGACGGGTAAAGTTTGCCTAAAGTCTCCAGCCAAGAGAACTGTAACGTCGCCCGTCGAACCACTATTCTCTCTCATATCTCAAGGCCCGCTTTTACAAATCGTGGATAAACATGGGAATAGTTATCCAAGGTATAAATATATCCCGTCATTTAACCCTTGGATAAATCGGTACTGCTTTTACAATACTTTTTATCTGATCGTTAGTTATCCCTCGGTTTACCTAATTTTGTTGTGATGTTGGTAACAAAATGATACATAAAATGTCAAAAATATTGACACAACAGAAGTGTGTTTTCCAAAAGTTTACAGAAATTTTAATAAATATGGGGAGAACAGGTGGAAGTTTTTGATTCCGGTAGTAATGAAGAGATCAGGTGCCTGGTAGGACGAATGGGACATCCAAAGGGACATTGACACTAACATTAACGTTAGTAATCAAAATTACAATTTTATTCCCATTTTTCTCGGTGATGAGATTCATGCGTGAATGTGAATTATGCCCACAATGTTCATCTCCTCCTGGATCTTCTTTACAATAACATTACCAAAGCAATTTTTCTCTGATGAATTTTTGGATCTGCTTTGTGACAACATTACTCTCACAATTTTCCTCTACAATGTAGAAGTTTCTCATTCTATCATCTTTGCAGCGGCAATCGACAGCTAGGGTTTGGTGACGGGGCAAGGGCTAATGGGTTAATAATAAATAATGTGCGTTAGCGATTGTAATACGACTTTTTCAGAGTATGTCTCGGTTTTTTATTATGGTGATTAGAGTGATTAGGAATATTATAAATTTATATTCGTGAAAAAAGCAATTTATGTACATGCAACCATCGTAGGTTAACTTTTTGGAGGTTATGTTGTTCATTTTGATAAAACTGAAGAAACGAGAGAATAATGTGGATCTACACCTTCTAAAAGAAAAAATAGAGTCAATAGTTTCGAATCAGTTATCAAAATGATGTGGGATAGTGTTATTATTAATTACTATTTCTTGGATAAATTCTTATCCCATGTCCACAGCGGGGGTTAAGAAATACCGTTGTTTATCCCTAATTTTATCTATTCTGTAGTTATCCTATGATTGTAAAATCGCTATCCGACGTTTATCCAAGGAATAGAGTTATCCTTGGTTTATCCCTGGTTGGTAAAAGCGGGCCTGAGAGTTTTGCTGAGAGTTTCTAGGCCTTCTTTATGGGCCACAGTGCATTCATCACATACTATAAGTATTGCCCTGTTTTGAAATGGTGCACAGTTCTGTTTTACCGCCATCCAGCAACGTGGCTGCGATACCAGAAGTAGCAACTGCCAAGGCTATCCCGCGATTTTTCTGTACTCTAGCCAATAACAATTTAAAAAAAAATGTTTTACCGATGCCTCTAGCAGCATCCAAAAAAATATTTGACCAGTACCATTCTTGACACTATGTACGATTTGGTTGTAAATTTGATATTGTTCTGTACTTAATAAACTTTAGTTGTTGGATACTATGTACTTGTGCCAGTAAAAGTGTGTCATAGCTAATCTCTCTGAGACTTGACGTTTTATGTCCACCGACAGACTGTTTTTGTAGTTCTTCCATATCTCTTGTTAAAGCGTCTGCTACTCGTGGCTCAAAAGGAGAATCAGAAAAAGCAGCTTCTTCCATTGTAGCATCCAAAGAAACCTAAGAACTTCTATGACGCAATAAATATTATTTTTTTCCGAAATTGCAATATCTACTTTGCAGTGTTGCAGATGTTTCTGCAAGCAAAAATATAATTAAACATTTATAATATACTCGTCCATGTAACCTGTAACAGGACATAAAACCTGCAAGTATGAGATATATAGCCAAAAAAGTCTGTTTGGGGCTTAAATATATTTTTTTTAAATAAAAGTAACATTCAGATAACTCCCAAAAACACATTTATATTTTATGATATCAAACAAAAATTACAGCGATATTTTTTCTTAGGTACTCCGCATATCCCACGACTATCATCTAAGTATATATTGATATAATCATTTAGCGATTGTCTTCCAATTATCCTGGACCATTTTTACGTCTTCTTCATCCATATCTTTATCTCCCCAACCCCAAATGCTACTCTTGTTCCAACTGCCATCTCCTGTTCTTAGCACTCTCTTCATAACCATATCTGGAGACGCCCATTTTAAATCATACGCCCACCCAATTTTAGCCATTAAGTCTATAAAAGCTGTATTTAGATTCCCATAATAGTTGCCTAGTTCTGCAGCCTTGTAATCCCATGGGAACGTATGATGGTAGTTATGAAACCCTTCCCCGAAACTAAGGTGTGCAACAAACATGGTCTCCACAGGGCGAATATTCCTAAAAGTGGGGTAAAAATTTTGGATAGTAGCACTAATAATTACTGTACCTGTCAAACGGTTTAGTACCCCATTTATGAGCAGCACTATTTACCAAACACGTAGCGTGTAAAGTGTAAACGTACCGTAGCATACTGCAGACATGCCATGAAATAACAAAAGCTTCGTTCCAAAAATACCATGGTACAGCAGCGGGTATAACAAAAGCTATAAATGGTGCTATGTACCAGTAGTATCTAAGTAAAACAAAATAGTGGAAATTTGAATGAAATGGTAGGACAGTAACTTACTTTCTTTGAAACATAACCACACGATTTTGCAGTAGATCACTTAGATCTATTTCTTTGCCTTTTTGAATAAGCTGAGGAGATTTCTTACACATAAGCCAACCAATATGGCTGTAGAAAAATCCTCTACTTGCATTATGAGGATCATAATCTGTATCAGAATGTTTATGGTGTAAACGGTGATCTCTGACCCAGTCATATATGTCTGTTTGGAAAGTCAATGTTTGATCCACAGCTAAGACAATTTCCAGAGGTAATTTAGCCTTAAAGGTGCGATGTGCCCAAAGTCTGTGAGCACCAACGGCAGTACCATGGCTTGACATTAACACAAGTAAAATGGACCATATCCACGTCTTCCATGACATTTGTGTTAGAAAATATATTCCAACAAGAGCCGCTAGATGGACATATGCAAAAAAAAATATTTTTTTCCATACAAGCTCATGCTTGTACACTGTGGGTCGCAGTTTTTGTGGACTGTCAGCCAAAGATGTTGGGCAATTCGTTTGGTTAGGACCTAAACCAAAAAAATATATACAAAGGAAATCTTGGAGGGTAGGTTTTAATTTAGATCAGAAAGAGCTGTCGATTACTTACTCATAGTATATGGAACAGTTACTAAAGAGAACCGAAACTTCCTAGTTAACTAGTGGCATCACCAAAATGCAGAGATATGGAGAAGGAGAATGAGCTTCGACTTCTGCGCATAGGTACACTATGGGGGCCGCCATTTTATCAGTTAACCTTAAAGTTTTGTTTACCTATGAGGTTACGACGTTGTTGAACCAGTTGTAATTTGGAGTTAAAATTATTACTTAATTTGTTTTACCGTTAGTGTACGTGTGAACGTGCTTGTTAGTGTTAAAGGACATTATTATTGACAACAAACATGTCTTGTACAGTTTCTCACTGTAAAAATTATCAACGATTTCGTTCAGAAGGTGTATCTTTTCATCAGTAAGTTTTCTTCATTATCTTATTAAAATCGAATACGTAGGTATTTATAATTAATAACAATTGGTTATTGCAATACTATGTGATCAATATTTATTATATCTGATTTTAGGTTTCCGAAAGATCGAGAACTTTTAAACAAGTGGCTGATTGTTGTGAAAAAAGATGACAGCTTCAAACTGACTAAGTATAAGCTGGTGTGCTCAGATCATTTCACAACAACTGATTTCATTGTTGTAAATGAGAGAAAACGATTGAAATCGAACGCAATTCCCAGTGTGAATTTAGATGAAAGTCTAGAAGCTTCTTCAACTTCAATGAGTACTGTGAGTGCTACTTCAGCTGATATTTGCGAAGAGTCTCCATCGATTATACCTCAAGGTGTAAAGAGGACATTAAGGTTTGAATATTTTATTATACTGATTTTTTTACTACTGTTAATAATTATTATTTAGTGCTGCGCAGAGATACCATGGAAAAAGCAGTAACAGTACAAGTGGAAGTAAAAGCAAAAACTCAAAAAGTAGTTCTGACAGTAGGGAAGGTGATAAACTGGCGTTACATAAAGAAACTACATGAAGAATTCCTAAATGTTGCAAATAAGTTGAAAAAGGCACATTTGGAGTGGCGGCAACATAAAATGAAAGTAAGTTGTTTTCCTGACAATATTCCTTATTGACATTAATAATTAAGTTCTATTATAGGTGAGTTTAGCAGCACAAACTCTTAGCAAGAGTTGCGGATGCACTTGAATTTTTAAAAGATCTTGGTATTGGTGACTTTCAAGGTTGTGAAGCAACAATAGAATTCATCAGAAGGATAGATTCTTTATTTGATATTCTCAATTCCCGAAGTGTACGTGCTAAGAACTTTAAGGCACCTTTGAGAGAAAACAATGAAGAACTGTAGCGTCTATTTCTCATCGACACCAATGAGTATCTTCTGATTTTGAAGGATGTCACTGGCAGGCCTTTGTGGTGCACGCCCCGAAAAACGTCAATTCTGGGCTTTGTTATTTTCGCTACGTCATTCATGGGAATTTTTGATGAATTTGTTAGTAGTAAGAGGTTGAATGACTTGCTAACATATAAATGTAGACAAAATCATCTGTAAATTTTCTTCTGCTCAGTGCGGTAAGCTTTTAAAGAAACAATTGTATTACTTTTTTATGCACTGGAATTACACAAATCTGTATTTATTTTTCTGTTTTCAGATCGAGAAATGGGTGAAACAATAACCCTACACCTCTACAATTTTGTAAAACTTTCAGAAGATTGCTTCTATTTACAAACATAACGAGGGCAGGAGGAAATTGTAAAGTGCTTTGCGCCGCCTGTATGCTCTCTGTTGGCAGTGGCCCAAAGCACAAATGTTCAACAATCAGTTGACGTGTTTGACTTGAAAAAATATGGTCTCGATATTTTGACTGAAGCACTTGCAGATCATGACTACGACCGTCTAATTTTATTGGGCTGAGTGAAGTGACAGAAAACGTTGTGGCATATATTGGTAGCTATGTTGTCAAAATGGTGACGAAGACGTTTAAGTGCGCAGACTGCATTTCTTCTTGCATTGAAACACGAGGAAGTGACTTACAGTTTTACAGATTATTGGACAAAAAAACATGGGTAAAATAAAATACTTACAATAGTTATTTTTTAAGTCTTAACAAAATTTTGATTTTAGGTGGGCTTATTAAACCTTTTGCTGGGGTTGTAAAGACTTGTTGTTACTGTGAGTTGCAAATACGAAAAATTTTGCAAGTCACCGATAACAAACTTCCAAGCGATGAACAATTTTTTAAAACTTTCAGCATGCCCGTAATTTAGAGAACCCACGCACTCGATGAAGGCCATTTATATATTCTTATTAGACAAATAATTAATGCCTAAATGTAAATAAGAATATTTAATTTGAGCAAAAGACTTCATGTCTTGCTCAAGGCATTTCTGTTAGACATGTGTACACATAATTGGTACTGTTTTCGCATCAATAAATACATTTAAGTATAAATATCACAACTAAAATTAGTTGTGATTTATTATGTGATTTTAATTAATGATTTTAAACTTCCCGCCCAATAATCAAGCAATTGTCTAGGGATATCAAGTTCTGTTAGTGATTTGTGATTATGTTGGCAACAGTCAACTGATAAAATGGCTGCTTTCAATTTTAGACCAAGGATTTCGTCTGCGCAAGGGAAAGCTCATTCTCCCTCTCCATATCTCTGCCAAAATGTCAATTGCAGGCGCCATCTGGCGGATGCCTGGCACATTATTCAAAGTTAAAAAGTTGAAATTTAAAAACTGGCGCCCAGTAACGCTTTATGCCAATAACCTTGATTCAAATTTGAAAGAGAAATAAAAAATTCGTATATAAAAAGAAATATTTATTTAAAATAATATACAAATTAATCAAAATAAAACGACACATAAATGTAAAAAACAAAAAATATTTAAAACAATACAAAAAAAAAACAAAAATATTAATTCTCCGAATAAAAAATATAAAACTAAAAAAATTGAAAAACAGATAAAAAGGAATAAAATTTATAATAACACTGATTAAAAAATATAGGAAATTAACATTCAGTCTTGTATGTATTTTCCTACAACTTAATTTTTTTGTTTTGAGAAAAAATGGGTTTCTTTTTTCTCTTACTACCTGCAGTTCTCTTTGGAACTTGGTTTTGTTTATTCTTAAAATATTTGTACATGAACAGTCTTACGGTTTTATCTATAATAAGCGATTCACAGCTATGAATATCACATAAAACATTGGTGTACATTTTTAAAAAACTACTTTTGAAACTTGTTTCCAAATTTGCTTTATGGCCATTTTTGTCTAAGTATGTTTGGAGCAAACTATGTATATTTTTAACTAATAAAATAACTATGTTACTCGGATAAATCAGTTTTTCATTATCAGGGCGATGTTCTTTTAGCAAAGTAAACTTATGAAACCGATTCTTTTTATTTGCATATAACTGTTTTTTACAAGTTTCGCAATTTACGTCGAGTAAGTTAATTTTTTTCAGAATATACCCTGATACATAGGCAAGTCCCTGCGAATTTTCTGGAGTCAAAGCTTCTGCATTGAAGACTAATTCAAGTTGATCACTCGAGGAAGATGCTATTGTTTCTTGTTTCGTGTGCTCCCAATTTTAAAATACTTATCTAAACTTTCGCAACGATCGTCCTCACAATTTGCTCCTCTGACTCCAGATAAAAACATTCTATTTAAAACTGTTGTTTTGAGGGCAGCCACAAACTGATGACAATTTGGATTATTGTTAGACATTCCATGTTCTCTAATAAGGCAAAATAAATTTTCAAGTGGGTCTTGATTCAGATTTCGTAAATTTAAGTAGGAGATTCCCATTTGCTTCAATCGTAGCCATAATTTTTTAACCGATTGTATTGTTACCATCCATCCATTTATGAATTGAAACTGATTTGTGTGGTCCCTACCATCAGACTTTCGAATCAGTTTCGAATTTTTTATTTGTGTCAAAAGCCTATCCCAATTCCCAATGGGGAGAATTATCTCTAAGGACAGTTCGATATGTTTTCCCAGCATCTGGATTGAGAGTGTAACCATTAAGTGAATTAAAAAGCTGATCCATGTTTCTGACAAAAATTGCAGTGTTTTTTGCTTCTGGTGGTAACAAACCTTGGCCGTTTGTCTCCGCGTATGTTTCTAAGCCTGCACCGACAGTATTGCTCAGCATCCAAGCTGCAATGTTAACTCTCATTTTCATGTAGCTGTCATTTATATTAAAATGTTCGTCCTTGAGTTTATATAGACTTGGGATCTCTTTATGTTTATCAATTTCATAAAGTTGAACAATATGTTCAAACTTTGCTCTTTTATCACCATCGAATATAAAATCACAAGTATATAGTGCATTTCTTGTGTTCTTAAGTAGATGTGGGACGTCAAATATGCATGCAATGTCATGTCCATTGACTTTAAATTGAAAGCGCGATGAATTTTCCCAATACAGTTCATTAAGGGCAGCAGGATTAGTGGACCCTTGGTCACACACTGTGGCCATTACGTTAAATCCAGCTTCCAAAGTCTGATTAATTATTAATGTAATGATATTTTTTAGATTAGCCACAGATATTGTTGCAGATGTGAGATAATAGGCCACAACTTGTTTCCACGTTTTTCGCATTCCCCGCAACATAAATACTAATGCGTGATTTGCATGTCTGCTTGTTCTACCTAGGTGTCCCAAATCTTCATACCCAAAAGCCTTGTCTTTATTTGCGTCGTAAAAAAAACCAGAACTCAAAGAAATCTCATCAAATATTAGCGAACAACATTTATCTAATTTATTCATCGTTTGACATACGTTTTTCAGATGATCTAGAAGTGGTTTATTTATACCAGTATCCAGTGGAATATTGGACAAAATTGTCTTTAACGTTCTTGTTGAAGGTACTTGGAAGTAGACAGACAAATATCTATACAATTTAGGACTTCGTTTATATAGAGATAATGCAAATATTTTGTCTTGTTCAGTCCACCGTTTAGCTGATGGTTTTTTCTCAACGTTTCGCAGTTGGGAGGTGATAGACCTGACAACCATCGGGAACGATATCTATGAATTTGGGGCCTGATCCACTTGTACCAAAGGAAAAAGATTACTGTAACAATTAAAAAGATGTAGATTAATATTGTCCATATATTAGTGGAATATGAGACGTATTCATGATCCTATTGTATCTAGTGCGTCCTGTGGTAAATTGGGTCGATGTCTGCCAAGTCGACTGTTTCGAGTTGTAGCGGTTCTTGTTTTCAGATTTCTTCTTTTATTGGTGTTTTTTTTTTCAGGATTCTGGTAGCTCCGAAGGGTCGATGGTGGTTGTGGATTGAATTCGTATGTATTGCCCGTATTGGTTTCTAAAGCCCTGAATAGTGTGAATCTCAATTCTTGATCCACTGGGTTGATTATGGTGGTTGTGGATTTGGTTTTGGATCTGGACGATTTGTTCAGTTCTTGGTTGAAGATTCATTGGAAAAACTGGTTTTCTTCTTTTTATTTCATCACATTCAAAGTAAATTGGCTTTGTCTGTTATCAAAAGATTCTTTCCAAAATCTAAACATGCGTTTATTGAACGTAGGAAATCAGTTGCCCTTAACCCATCGTATTTAAGATTAAAGTCAAATAGAAAATGTTTTTGTTTGATATCTGCCATGGATTTTAAACACTCGCATTCCTGACGTTTGCTTCTATCCCGCAAAGAACGTAATCAACTAGACGGCCTGATTCACTAGAGCTAATAAACATTCTAATGAAAACGACAAAGCTAGAAAAGATTTTAATTTTCACAGTAGTAAAATGAGTATTACAATTACAAAAAAGAAAAATCGGCAAAACTAAATTATGCTACATTCTATCAAGACTTTGAAACAACAAGAATGTACAAGATGTTAAACTATGCAGTAATTGAAGTTATTGACTAAATTAAAATGAAGTTCATCAACATTACATAACGGAGTCAACCACATAAACACAGAAAACAAAGCACATGTGAAATAAACACATCAGGCACAAATTAAATATAGTCAAAATCAAAATAAGATGCAAGTTGTGAGAAAATAATTCGTATGTGAAAAATAACATTAATATAATACAAAAATTAACATAAACATACACTTCACATTTCTAGTCCATGATATTAACTGACGACAATTTTCAACGTTCTTTCAATAAATTAAAATTTGTTTAAATGCCATAAATGAGCTATTATCAGCCTCGAGTGAGAAGCTATGAAGTGCGATAATGCGATAACGTATGTAAAAGCATCCAGTTACTTAAAATACGTTAAGTCTGAATAAGTGAATTTGCTGTCATGTGTTCTACGGGAACATTTCATTATTCTTATTAAATTTTACATGAACAGTTAAAAATCTTATTACTTACACGTGTTTATGGAAAAGTCAGATTCATTAATTAACTGATCTTACGCTAGTAAGACTCGTTTGAGAGAAATTGTGGCGTCGAACGCGATTAATTTGATTAATCAATTGCCCTTTTATAAAATTACAAGCAATGTTCTACTTATTTACCAAAATTTAAGATATGTTTTAGCTACACAAGAAGTGATGCGCCAAAAATAGAAAGTGACTAATCTTCTACAAAACTACCTGCTTTGCGTCCCAAAAACTCTTACCCCAAATCGAGGAGTTGCTTTTTTTTCTCTTAGTATGAAATTTTAATTTTAAATTCAGAAGAACACCACAATAGATTTATCTCAATGATCAGGAAAAATTGGCCTTAGATATTATTTTTAATATGAATACTGTAACTGTCAACGTTTTTAGTAGTACAGCTTGGTTCTATTTATTTAACTCACAGAATTTTACATTTTGGGGTACTGAAGACTCATATACTTTTCATGACGCTCCTTTGCGTTCCCAGAAGATTGGACTATCTAAGTCTATGGAATGGAACTGTATTTTTTCAAGAACCAGTAATTATAAAAATATACTAGCAACTATTCATACTTCATTCATATTCGCGTTTTTAAGTTTAATAATAATCGAGGTACAAACGTGGGGATTGGAATTTTTACCATTTTCCTCTGATCACACGACATTAAATTTTTCACTATAATGTGGTGACCGAATCTGAATTAAAATTTCGCGTTGAAAAAAATTAACAGCGGGGAGAAATCGCATTTGAATAACTTGAATTTGAAAAAAAAAACTCGATCAAGAAAATTGTTAAACATAGGCAATCATGTGCACGTTAGTTCTTGTTGGATAGCCGTTAGTTCTGCTTGGAATTTTAGTTGGAGGGTTGGTTGGTAGAAGGTGCTTGCTTTTGTACAAGGTGGACAGAAGGTCACTGTTGGTTTGTTGTAGTGAGTGTAAACTAGTGGTGAGTTAGCTAGGTTAAGTTTACTTGGTTTGGTAGTTAATGAAAGGGAGGAAGCTTTCGTTTAACGAAAATTAATCGTAACGACGACGACACCACAGTTTCCCCAACACGTAGTTAATTCTTGCGGCTTTCTAAGTGGAAATTACGAATTTTCGACGGACGCCAACGCGTGTTGTAAATTCACAGTTCATGTTAGGATTCTAATCGTTAACTAGTTCTAACACAATTTAACAGTCATGAATTTGTTTAGGTCAAGCACTTCTATGAGATTTCATGAGATTCACGTTTGTTTAATGAATTATGAATACTGTTTCTGGATGCTTATCCTTAAGTGTTACATTATACACTTTACACGAGATTCCTAATAGTTCATTTACGGCATTTAAATTAACTTAACGTTGCTTTACTGTGGAAAAAGACCGTAGAAAGTGCGGTAGAATTCATAATATCGTGGACTGAGGTACGGAAATTTAACGCTTGTTCGGTTGTAGTTCAATATTAGCGTATTTGAAAGTGAACATTTAAAACGGAATTGAGGTAATAATTCCACGTGGTGGAAGCGGAGTGCGCGCTTTCTTGTCGAACTGTCGGTCGCGCCATCTGCACAAAGGACGCAGAGTTAGGGTAGAAGTCAGGGGCCGGTCCAGATGACGTGACGATGTCAGTTTATTTGTAGCCGTGATTTCCAAACACGAGTTTGCGACCATAACGGTCTCGTTAGGTCGGCACGTTTCTTCGTTAGATAGAGGGGTACTGGGCGGTAGTGCTTGCTGATAGAATAGAATCAACGTCGCGGGGGAGAATAGCCATGACCAGGAGCCCCAAACTCCGCTCGTGCTACAAGACCTTCTATGGATAATTTTGCTGTGCTCGAAAATGAAATTGACATAGTTCGATCGCCACACTCTTATAGCGATTCGGATGCTGCCATCCATTTCACATATGTGTAGGGTTTTTGTCTCTTTCTTTCATCTGTTTATGTGTTATAATTGTAGTATATAATTAATTATTATTACTTTGCAACTTCATTGTTGGCAGTTTATGTAACCAATTAAACACAATTCGAAAGCGGCGGAATATATCAATGCCCACTAGATTGTTAAACTCATTTATGAAAGAAAATCACATTGGGAATTTCATGAGGTGAAAAGGCTTCAAAACCTGTATTACACGTAACTGTATAATTATGTAAATAAATTATTATTCCCCTGGTGAAAGTTGGTGCCAATAATAAGCTACTGGTTAATTTCAAGCAACTACTATCTGGCGAAAAATGTCTGGGTGCCGAGGAATTCTGGAGGCTCTATAACTACATCTTAGAACATAACTAAATTTAATTAAATACAAACAAAATGAACATTAAAAATAATTTTATAATGATCAAACACCACATTGACACTCGTAATGGGGAAGTTAACATGCCATTTGAACACACTCTTATGATTTGCAGAAATATTGAAGAGATTGTTGATCTTAATTAAATCTATGGTTGCCATATAATATAACACTTAACGAGTACAATACTATTGCGTACAGAAAATAGTATTTGATTATGTGGCTTTCGTCGTAATTTCGTCTCCATATTTTTCTTATTAGATCTATGACTTAAAAAAATGTTAATTTACAAACAATTTATAAATGGTTGAATGAGTTGTTAAAAAAAGTGCTATTACGCCATTTCGAGGACTCACTCTAAAACAGATTGCCTGATTAAACTTAATGTCCGAACAGTAAAGTTTAATTAACAGTACTTGGTTTTAATACCTATAATATAGACGCACAAAGTGCAACCACTTTAAATTAACAATAAAATTCACTATCTGGTTACAACTCGTAAATCAAGCGTAGGTACTAGAACACATACACATCAAATTTTTTCCTTCAAAATTATTCCACTCGAATTTGTTTCTAAAGTATTTTGTGTTTCGAGCAACGCTACAGTAACGATGCCATTAAATTAATTCAGATTTATTTGAAAACTGTACCCAGTAAAATACATATAAATAAGTAAATGTGACTAGTTTTCACATGTCCCAAAACGTTTTCTTCTAATCAATCTATCGACAACTGTTTGAAACTACCATCCACTCCAAACAAATCCTCGTAAGTCGTCGGCTTCCCTGGCCTTTTTGATTCGTCCGCTTTGACGTTTTCTTGTTCGTTAAACCACGACAAATTGTCTTCCAGGGCCTTTATCCACGGATCTAGATACGTCTGTACCTTTCCTGCCGTCCCCCCAAACTCTTCAGGTAGCAACTCCCTGGGAACATATTCAAACAGGGACTCTAAATTTTGATGGACGTGAATTCTCTTCCTAATTTTCTCTTTAAGAAACGGCGACAGCCATCTTATAATGAAATCCACCAGAGGAGTGGCGTTAATTATGTGCACTTCCTTGAGTTTTACGGGATATGCTTCCTGGACACATATAAAGAATTTCTTCACGATGGTAGGAGATACCTTGATGAAGTGTTTCATGAGAGCTACACTCGCGTCTAGAACGTATACGTCGCCCAAAACGCCTACTTCTTCGACTTTGAGGCGGACGTCACCCAACATGAAGATTATTTTCATGAAGTTGGCTATATCTGGGGTTTCGAAGTCAGTAGCAACTGCTCCAGCAACAGTTATTCGTTTACCATCTGCGGTGAGACCCGGCATTATAGCAGCACGCCTGGAAAATGAAAAATGTATAATCATTGTAGGAACTACAATACAGACTATAAAAAACTGATGAGAATGAAACGGTGCGAGTTAAATTATTTTGACATTGTACTGTCCACAACTCAAACACAGTTGTCGTAGTACCTGTAGATTTTTATTACAGAAAATATTCCCAGAACACACAAAAACTACTCTAGCATAAAACCACAGAGTTTTTTTCGGTTTGTTAAATATGTATTACTAAAATAATTCATTCAAGTTATCTAACTTATGAATGAAATTTTTTGTATTTGAATATCTAAACAACTGAACCTTTTAATTCTTCCGACGTATTTAGTATATACATGTCGACCATTGAACCTTGTTTTTTTTGTGTTTGTTTGAGGGAATGTAAAACGATGGCCCACAATGCAGCTGAATAACTTCACTTTTAAAATTTAACCAATAACTCGAATGGACATATAATATTAAATTCATGTAATTTTGTTAGCTTCGCAATTTTTCACCTCATACAATGTTTCTCTGTCTCACAATTTTAGCGTCAGTAATTTTCTTTGCTGTATAATTTAAATTGAACCTTACGTGATGTTTTTTGTCTGCACAAGTTTTACTTTACACCAGATCTTTTTTGTTTTTATAAATCCTTGCTAGTTTTTGTTTTGTAAATATTTTGTTGATTAATGCTTCTATCATAAAATTATGTGATGTCCAAACTTAATCTCAAATAAGGATTCTTTGCTGTTTAAAAATTTCACGAGAGTGTATGGCGCATTTAAAAGTTGTTTATTGCTTTTTCTGAAACTTTAACCCTTGTTCAGTTGTAGTTTAATATCAGTCATAGAAATTGAACATTTAAATGGAACTGAGGTTAAATAACACAGAAACACGTAGCGGAAGCGGAGTGCGCGGTTCCTAGTCGAGCTGGCGGGATTTATTGCGCCATCTGCTCAAAGGATACGGGCTTTGTATAGAAGTCAGGCTATTGACTTGGCCTAATAGCCGATACCCAACCACGAGTTTGCGACCGTAACGGCCTGCTCGTACGGCATATTCGTCTTGGGTAGGAGAACACTCACAACCAGGAGCCCCAAACTCCCCTCTGGCTACAACGCCCCCAATGGGTATTTTTCTAGACTGAAATTGATATAGTTCTATCGCCACACTCGTATAGCGCTTTGGTGCCGCTGCCGCCGCATAGCTTTTTATTTAAATTTTGTTCTCTTGTTGACTGCCATTATTTAAATTTTCCGCCACACGTGTATTGTATCCAGTTACTTTACGTCATATTTTGCTTTGTTTTTATTAAATTTGTGATATTCAAATATTTGCATTTCAGAACGTCGAATTTGATTTCATTCAGAGTTTTTTTTTGTACCGAAGCATTAATAAGGTCTTCAACCTACGTAACTTAGTTGCAGCTTTTTTTTTGTCAGTGGAGGAATAAATAATTTTGTGTCCTCCATATATTTCGTGTTCTATTTAGCGGTACTTTCCCAATCTTGGGATCCACCACTTACATCTGAACGCATCCCGCCATTTTTCAAAAATACAATGTAGGGTTCCATTTTGTTAGACCAAGGCCAAATTTTTGAATTTTTCGCGGGCTTTCAATTTTTTTTCACATGTCAATTTAAAGCGGGATGTTTGGGTTATCACAGTACCAAGGATATTGTTAGTCGAATGTTTGTCTAATTCAAGTTGGTTTTTGGATATTTGCTCTTTCGATGTTAGCTCACCACCCGAGTTAGTGTTTAATTGTGAGTCAGAGTCCAATTGTGCTTCATTGAGCCCAAATATTATTAAATTATCTTCCCTCTTTTGGCGATCCGTAAATTCTTAGATAACATCTTCGAACTGAAAATCATGAACGGGTTTAATGGAAGACATAGATTTCAAATTATTAATATGAGCTTGAAGGTCGTCTTTGATTTGATTCAGATTAGTTATCAGCTGAGTTTGATCCTTGATGTCATTATATTGACCGATATTGTCATTACAAAAATTACAGACAACCTTTAGAGCCTTAGATTTAGTGCGAGTCCATTTAACCTCACTTTCATTGAGTCCTATGCAATTCAGACGGATTTTTCCTCGGCAGACAAAATAATTAATAGTCGAAACGTTAGGATTAATGGCACTGTGACAATTTCGGCAATTCATGACTATTATATAAGCAAAACAATAACGTGGGCACAATGCTTCACACCCCCGGGGTCGATCCGGGTGACTAACAAAAAGTATACCACGAGTATGTGATTATGTTTATTTTATGATATCGTTTATGTGTTCTACAACGTGAATTCTGAACATTTACTCCTGGAACATTCCTCTCACAGCGAAGTGTGTACCAAAACTCCCCATTATTATAATTTCGATCATAATTAATATGGTTTGTAGTGTTCGTTTCATATGTGTTTGGTTTATGTGATATGGGGATTCTGTCCACAATATATTCTTCATGAATTCCTGTTGATTTAAGCAGTAACTGAGTTAGCGCATAATCTGACATCATATAAGTTCGCTGTTTTGTAAAATTTCTGATATAAAAGTCATCACTTATCTATCCAAGTAGATGAGAGCACCTACCGATTTTCAATGTTTTCAATTTCGAACTCGCGGAGATTCAGAAATACACAAGAGTCGTGGAAAGTAATTAGAAATGAAAAATTTGTGATTGATTTAATCTTGTTGTAAAAAAAAGGATAAAACTAAAACATATTTTGTAAAATTGATTCGATTATTTTGTTGACCGACTTTTGCATTCCCTTTTACGTTCATGATTGCGGAGGTCAAACTTGTATTCTGGAACAATAAATTTACGTTGGTCATGTACATTTATTTATTATTTTGTACATGAACCGTGCTTCAGACAGACATGAAAATAAGTAGGTAGAAACCCTGAAATAAGATTTACATTTGTGGTTTAAGGATGGTTAAAAGCCCAGTTGGCCGTGAAAAGTGCAACATTTATTGTCGTCGTATTTAAATTATTCTACCTTCTACATTTAACAATAACAATAAAAAACTCCACTGAATGTATGTTAATTGTATATTAGTTGCAATAATTGGTTTTACGAAATATTAAATACAAAAAATTATGGGTTTAATGGAAAAGTAGCCATTTTTATGTAATATTTATGTAGGTATTGCTTATTACCAGTTTTGTTACGTGTTACTTTTTTATCATGTCGGTTTTAGAAGCAGCATTTAAGCAGTAACCTGGTTTGTGGAATAATTCAAAAAAATTGGTCTAAGGTTAGTTAGAGAGAGGTGCAGTCCAAAAAATGCAACTTTTTGGAAAAAATATAAAACTCGTTCTCGAACTTTGTTTTTTCGAATTTTATTAATTTTGTCAAATACAAACATTCGTCACCAATAGCTTAAAATCAAAATAAAATCGAAAACTTCAACAAATATTTAAATACAAAAAGAAAAGTTTTTACTTACATCAGTTTAATAATTTCCTGCAGTTCTGGCCTTTTCACGTCCCGATTTGTAAAGAACTCAGGAATAGCAGCTCTCATGGTGAAGTACATATCAAGTTTCTTTTTAGTTTTTTCTAAAGAGAAACTGGCGCCACGTAGGAATGTCATAATTCGATGGTCATCTGGGACAAAAATAAAAGAACTATAAATAAATATTTTACGAAATCTGAAAGCCACACCCAACTGTAAATGCATAAGAAAGGAAATTTCCACCGAAATTTACTTCCCAAAAAATGAGATAACAAGCACAAGTCAAACTATCTATAAATATTTATGTAAATTAATATGTAGTAAACTTGTCTATTATTTTTAACTGTATCATCCGTGTTTATTATTACAAATTAACAACTTCGTTTATTGTGATGTTTAACCTTTTTAATTAGATATGAAGTATTTAGGCAACCAGTTATACAGATGTGTTTGGTCTTTGTCATGCGTCCTTGGGCATTTAGTGCAGTTCAAATCTGACAGGCGGCATATTTTCATGACCTACTTCGACTTTATAATCATTTATAGAGAGCCTGTACTGAGAGAGCAATAAGAAACACGAACGAAGACACCCATTGATTTTTGAAGATTTGACAGATACACAAGTTTTGATTAATGTTTTACTTTTAATTTCAAATATTCAGGTACACAGACGTAACCGAAAATCCCAAACAAAAAACACCTTGGACGTCACATTTTGATAAATATCTCCTCCATAAATTAAGTTCTGACTCAACGAATGTAAAACAGAAAAACCCACCGTTAGGTTTTGTAATGTAAATACTAGAACGACATTGTTTAGTTTATTGGTAATAATGAAATTTACGATACTGATTATATTATCCTAATTTACAATGAATAAACATTTGTGTAAATAAGAAAGTATTTTTGATAACCAAATTATGGGTTATATATTTTATGCTGAAGATAACTTGATAATTGCTGCAATTGTTTATGTTGCATTATGCATTAGTTAAGTTGCATAATCACACTAAGCACGAGACTTTTATTAGACAATCGATTTAATCAATAAAACGCTAAAAACTGTATAATATGTGCATCACGCAATATTTTCACAATTATAGGTAAAATATCAAATCTCAGACAATCAAATTCAAGGTTATGCTTACATTATACTAATTTACATTTAACACACATATATTTATATTATTTTCTGTGAAATCCAAAATAGGTGGTAAATCGTTACACAACATTTTTATAACAACATTTACATCTGTTACAACTGTATTGTGATAGTGGGTATATTTGTAAATGAAATGGGTTGTAAACATTTTGGTAATGATTCATAAACTTTTATTTTTTAAACATGATGCAATTACGTAGCGAAAAACGCACGTGTTTTATTAATCCATACTGTTGTATATAATTGACATTTCCTTATTGTCAGTTGTCATCGACTAAATTTTAGATTTATTACAAACATACTTCACAATGTTTACAAAAAGCAAGGCCATCTTGATGACTTTTTCAATTGAACACCCGATACTTTCATAACAGAAGTAAATCAGTTAAGGAAAATGCTGATAAATATTTCTTATAACAGCTTGCATTTTTTTAGAAATGAAGGAGAGTTTAGTCTAGTTACTATTTATTGATTTACGATATTGATTAAATTTTTGAAATTGTGGATAAAGTAAATGTTTATGTACATCTATCCATTTTCATAAATAAATCGGTTGTGGAACATGAAATTTTCAGTATGACATTTACTATACGGGGTTTCTATAAATGATTATAGGATCGAAGTAGGTCATGAAGACGTGCCGCCTCTCAGTTTGGAGCTTAATAAAATGCCCAAGGGAGCACGACAAATATCACGCGCATCTGTATAACTGGTTGCCTAAGTGATTCATATCTTAAAAAAAATAAAACTAATTCATTATAATAAAAAGAAACAAATTTATTGCGATTAAACACAGTAAATGTTGAAAATATTCACCATTCTGTTTTGTTGTTTTGAGCTTGGATCAACGACAATTACTGTAATTCACACTTGAAAAATATTAAAACAATAAAAACGACGACTTTAAATGACAGGTTTCAAACGACATTAATGACAAATGAGAACTGTCATAATGAGGCACAATTTCAGCGAAGCGGGATTTTTGGAATCCATGGCCAACCACGCCCTTAAAATCATTTATAAAAACCCTGTACAAACTACGATTAACAATTGGATTCAAAATAGGGATTTTAGTCCCTTTATGGAAAGAGAGTTATTCGAAATTTCGACTAGCAACAGCTTTTTAGACAAAAATCAGTTTTTAATTTTAAATTCAGTTGATATCAATGCAGATTGCATTTTATTTAAATTAGAATAACTGGCTCCGTGGATCGGCAAAAAGTCTCAATTTGGTATTTCTACAGAAATAGGTTAAGAAGAGATCCTTGAGAAATAATTGCCTTTTTTAATATGTCGCTTAACTGGATGACGACAATTACAAGTTTTTCTAGTATAAAATGACACGTAGCAAATTCAAACGGTTTGAATAAATCTAAGTTTGGACAAAAGTAATAAACTTCTAGGATCCGTGGTTTTTGAATCCGCCTTGAGTTCTAAAAAAAAAATTGAACATTATAGATAAATACACAAAATAAATAAGGTGCCACAACGCATTTGTAGGATGTCAAAAATATATGCATAGAACTTATTACAAATAAAATTTTGCAAAACCAAATTTTATAATTTTCCAAAGAAGCGAATTTGTTGGCTTGGACTTCAGAGGGGAGGGAAGTCCTGTTGAAATAGTTTTAATATTTTTGAAATGACGTCATCAAATTTTTGGAGAGCGTAAAACTAGAATATTTTGTTTTACAATTTTGTTTTTTAAAATTAAACGCCCTATATAAAAGCAAGAAAATTGGAAAAACGTGGCAACGTCGCATCTGAATTTCAGACGTAAACTATGGTCATGAAGCCTAGAACAAGTCCAATCAGAGTATGTAAAAACACACAGTGTTCTATTAGAAAAAATAGTAGTATGTCAGGGTTAAAAACACAACACTGTCGTTAAAAATCGTAGTAGTTAATGCTACTCAAAGAACTATATAATTTTGATCTTCAACTTTTTTTTCTCCCTAATCGTTATGAAACCGAGGACCGGGTGCTTAGTGGTCCACCCTGTATATGTAAAATTGTAATTTACTTATAATTCTCGGTTATTTTGTAGGTAATTAGTTCTACAGAAACGCCATCACCAACTGAAGAATTAAAGTAAACATCAAACTAGTGTTTGAATTTGGCGGAAATAGTTATAGTGGGAGTTACAGACCATTAATATAATAACAAATTAGGAAAAATGAATTGGATAAATTACCAGTCGTTTCCATTTTTCTCAGTAACCTGTACAATTACGATATTAAATAATGACTGAAATATAATTAAAACGTCGTTACTCAAACGAAAGCTGAAGATCTCCCATTTACAAATTACGATAATTTCACAGTTTAAAGAACCCACAGACCGTACCGTCTCGTCAACCCGGCCACAAAATAACTTACCCAAAGTGATAAAAGCACCATTAACCCAATTACAGAAGCAATTTATTTGGAAAAACATACCCCAACTGTCTGGTAAATGTGGTTCCTTCCGGAGCCATTCCTTGATAGCCTCAAGATCACGGTCTCTAGTATTCACATCTTCGTTAAAACTCTTCCTAATTTGTTCCTGCTGCTCAAGGCTTGGTTGTATTAGCAACATCTCGATGGCTTACGCTCACTACGATTATGAAAGCAGGAATGAACAAAGTTGTGCTGCCTTTTTTACAGCCTTGGCTAGGTGGAACCGTCAAGAGCAAGGATCTCGGGGTCGGAAACTTGCACTAAACCGGTCTACGATTAATTATTCTAGAAATATGACAATGGATGAGCAGACGCAGAAGGTCAGTTTGATGAAAATTCAAATTCTATTATTAAAGAATTACTGACGCACAAGTTTTTTCAGGCAAGTAACAAATAAGTAGGAAGGAAAGATGACTTTCTTGAAAAGTCGAATAATTTTATTTCGCGATACGTTCTGTCAAAATCCTCAATAAATTTGGGGATCATTGTTTAGTGCCAGATTTCAATTATGGCCTTTGTATTTTGTGTTTCTTGTGTTAAATCACGTCAAAATTCGAGTTCAATGACTAATAAAAACCCAAACCAGTTTTGAGATTTGGTTACAGTCAGTGAAAGTTACACAAGCAAGCGAAAGTGTTTCGACGATGACGAAAAATGCGTGCCTGCTATCTTTAGTAGACACATTTTTCTTTATATGAAATGAAATAAGGTTACGTAATTTCAGGTAACTATTACACAAAAAAAAAAACAATGAAACAATTAACTATACATTTTGCTATAATAGTTTTGTTTTTATTTCTATGAATATTTTATTCGATGCCAAATATAATATAATCAGCAATAACAATGACGTTATAATTAACAGTGTTTGCTAAGATAAGTAGATGTTGAAAACTATGACAAAATTTCAGATAGAATATGGCACATGTGACAAAAATAAAGACAGAAATTTTAATAGACAAACACAAAATTTTGATTTTTTTCCAAAAATTTTATATCTAGGGTTTAGGGGTAAAAATTACTATAATTCCTTTGCATTATTTATGCATAATAGTTGTCTTATTTTATTTTAAACTGTATGTAAACTGAATTTATACGAAACTAGCTGAACCCGTGAACTTCGTTTCACCTACAATTTAATTTTGAATCTGCAAAACCGAATGCTTGGAAATCTTGCAGATGTTTTAAACATATGATAAGTTAGCCCAAAATTTTGCCAAATGAATCCTGTCTAAAATGTCCAAAATAGGATGAGACTATACTTGTGATTTATCATTCCATTCATATTTTTTAGTTTTGCTTATAGGGGGTGTCTCAAAAAATTAATCATTGAGTCAAATTATTTTATTGATTGACTCAAGAATTACAAAATTGAATTTTGAAATATTGCAGACGTTTTGAAGTTACTGTTTGACATGGTAGGTTTTTAATCAAAATATATCTGTTTATCAAGCCCAAAAACTTGATGACGTCATTTCAAAATTTTGTCGAATAAATCCTATCTAAAATGTGCAAAATATCATCAGTATATATTCGTAATTTATCATTGCATTCATACTTTTTAGATTTGCTTTTACAGTGACTCAAAAAAATGCATGGACAGTCAATTTATTTTAGTGAATAACTCAAGAGTTGCAGAAATGAATACTTTGAGATTTTGCAGTCGTTTTAAAGTTATTGTACCTAAGCATGGTAAATTGTTAAGAATATCTATTTATTTCCCCCAAAAAATTGATGGAATGGCTCACTCGATTTTCGCAGATAATTTTGGGAATACAATACAGTTATTTTTAGTATTACACTGCACCAATCCAAGGTGGTATACGTGTTGATCGTAAATGTTGATTCGGTCATCACAAAATTGTGTGAAGAAAAGACTCAACTCGTAAATGCTGAATATGTTTCATTATACAGGGTCATTATAAAATATTGTAGTCAACTCACCTATGAAAAACAAATGAAATTTTTCTCGTGCCGCTAATCACCAAAATGATTTGAACTGTTTTGAAATGTCACGAACGTCCAAACAAATCTGTCAGATGTGTCAAAAATTGAAATGCCCGGTTCGCGGTTTAATTTCATTTTAAATAGACAATTAGCATTAAGGGTTGCAGTGTTATCGAGCATTTGTGAACGCCACTGCAATACATTTCAGTTTCAAAAATTGTAAATTGTGAGAAAAACGTTTAAGGGCTTTGTCATGAATTACACCTTGGAAAGTCGATTGGAGTTGAACAGAATAAATCATCTGGTCTGTTTTGCAAAGAAGCAATAATTTTTCAAATAATGAAATCCAAAAAGTGAGGTTAAGTTTGTCGAAACCAATGAACACGGTAATTATTTAAAAAATTACATTTTTATAGGTACCCTGAAGGTAAAAATTGTGAAAAATCACGTAATGGACAATGGCAGAGCAAGTCTTATCACAGTTAACGAACACTATGAGTACCTAATGAGTTTTTGCAGTAAATAATTTTGCCAAAGTTGTGATCCCGCGAAAGTTCTGTTTGTAAATTGTAAGGAATCGTCAAAATATTGGTGCAGACATGGTTTGTGACCGGTGCTTTTCTCTTGAAAAAACACAACTGAAATCCTTGATCTTCATCCCTACAATAGGTGAAAATTGCTATGTCCAAACATTACCTTCAGCTTTGCAGTTTCTAGATATCTGAAACATGCCAGATCTGCATAACAGGAATGTCAAAGAGGTTCTACCCAAAACACGCCCACATGGCCATCCTAATATCAAGATTTTTCAAAATTTCTATAAGAAAAAAGATGAAAAAACCAATAAAATTTCAGGAGCATAGTGTTAAGAGTTCTGTAGCTGATTATGAGATCTCTTGAAACAACAGAATGTTTAATAAAGATTTTTAACTTTCCTAATAGTAAAATTACAATTATTACTAAACAGTAAGTTGAAGTAAGTTTTAAATTAAGAGAATGCAACTAACACCGAAAGAAAAATGAAAGTTACTGAAAATAAAAAACTTTATTGCAGTACCTACATACACTTTCTACATCTAATTTTGTTTATTGATCACATTCCTTTACTTGAAAAAGTATCAGGCCTATGAATCGTCGTCTGCTAACCACACACCAACCTTCATTGCGTGTGATGGTGTTTCTTCAAAAGCGTGAGTGTTTTCTATACACCAAATTCTGAAGTTCTGTCAGTTGACATAATAGCCTAACAGATGAAACCAGGCTTCATCAGAAAAGAACGACAAATCGAGAATCCCGTTATCGTCCATATCAGCTTGAAACCAACTACACTACCCAACGCGGCAAGGAAAATCAGCTGGTTGCAGCTCCTGAACCAACAAAATCTTGTATGGATGCATATGTAACTTCTCTTTTACGATTTTCTGACATGGGCTGTATGGTACTCCGGACAGTAAAGATTTTTGACAAAGCTTTATTCGGACTTTGTTCCATTCTCATCCTTAAATCTTCAACAACGTCTTCACTAACTTGAGGTCTCCCCGTCGGTTTTCACTTAGAAATGCTACCAGTGTCGTTAAATCTGGCCATAATTCGCCATATAGCGTCTTCAAAGATTCTTCATCAATGACAACAGAACATTTCACTAGATACTCGTTTTTAGACGCCTCCACAGAGTACACTCCATCCCCATCCTCATTTAACACCCCATTACGGTAATAGGCATGATGATTGCGCCAAAGGACTAAAAAAATCATTTGTAACACTGACCATAGTTATTCCTCTCTGTTCATTACCTGAGATTATTCCACAATGATCTCTAGTTTTGATAAAAACTGTTTTTTGAGACACTTATTAAAGTTCTAACAAAGGGGAAGACAGCAAAAATGAAAACAAGACAAGGCAATTAACGCACAAAGTGAGGGAAAACGTACCAGTACAAATGAAAAAATTATTGACATCTGACAGAATTTGATGAAGCGTTGAAACAGTGCAGCCGCTAATGTCAACTAATGTGGCGCTAAAAATAAAAATTCCAATATTAGTGTAATCCTTTCCACAAAACTGAAAAAGGCGGCACAAAATGTCACCAAAATCATGGCCTTCTTCGACTACAATATTTTATAATGACCCTGTACTTTTGGTGCGAAGGAAGTTCTGTCGAAACAACGTTTGATCAATTTTTTGACAATGGTTGATATAAATAAAACTCAGTAGATGCTCATACTCGAAATACGAAGTATCTACTCGAATATCAAATCAAAATATTTCTTTTTTTTTTGAAGAGTGTGGCAACGCTGCAGAAACGTTCTGTTTCATTTTTCGCTACAAAAATCTCGAATTCGGGACTTGTACGGGAAATTTAATTGAAGAGAACAGTGCCAATACGATTCCAGATGATCAAAGACAAACGAGGTGAGGAAAATCCGAACTAAGTTAACAAAGTGTGCAAGAAAGCCAAAACAAACCTAGTGAGGTTAGTTGATAAGACGGAAAAATACGGTGCGATAAGACAACGTCTGATCGCGGTATTGCCGGACTGTGCGGAAAAGCGGCGGTGGCACGGAGAGAAATACTAATTTCCGAGGAGTTGATCCGAATTAGTTTTCCTAGCGCTGTGCCCACAATACGCGGATTAAGAAGAAATGAATTCAACATTTAAGGACATCACCGATAGCGACGATTGCACGTCTGACGACGGTAAAAGAAAAAGAGATAATAAAGAAGAAAAAGCATTTATAAAAAGTAAGAAAATTTATAGATCGCCGGAAGAAAAAGCCATGGAAAAAAGCGATCCAAATGAGGAATTACGAGAAATGTTGAGAACACTGTTGATGGACAACAAAAATAAAGCGAAGGAAATGGTTGAACTAAAAGAAATGATGGGAAGTATGATAGTTGAGATGAAAGAAATAAGAAAGGAAAACAACGAATACAAAAACCAAATGAATAGACTAGCAAAAGAAAATGAGGAACTAAAAAATTCAATAAAGGAAATGAACCAGAGGATGGAAATTGTTGAATCGGCTCTAGAAATGTGTCAAAGGAACAAGAAGAGAAATAATCTAATTGTCAAAGGATTAAAAATAGATACAAGTTAAAATGAAATCATAAAGGAAGCCATGGAAAATTTTATAAAAAAAGAATTAGAAACGGAGGTGGAGATAAACAAGGCCTATAAAATAAATGAAAAGACCTGTATTATGGAATTGAAACATTTCGAAGATAAAGTAAAAATACTCAGAGCGAAAGGAAAATTGATTAATAGGAAAGGCGAGGCAATCTACATCGATTGTGATCTAACGAGAAAGGAGCAAGAAACCCAAAAAAGACTAAGGGATATTGCAACCGAAGAAAAAAAGAAAGGAAAAATAGTAAAGAAAGGTTATAACTTCCTAGTTATAAACAATGAGAAGTGGAAGTGGAATAGTAAAGCAAACAACATAACTCGACAAATCGAAGTTGATCCAAAAAACTAAAGACATATGCTCCGAAGGATAAAAATAAAAAGACAAATGCTGTGAAAATGGATAAGAATATGGTTTTAAATAGTTTTAATAAAAATAAGGGAAAAGAACAAAGGAATAAAAGGGGTAAACAAAAAGTAAGGAATAGGAGAACGATAGGAAAATATCCTATAAAAAATACAAAACAAAAAAATAAAGCAAAGGAAATTAAAGTACGTATAGGAACATGGAATATTAGGAGTATAACAGGCAAGGAAATGGAACTAACATCAGAATTTAAAAAATCTAACTTGAAGTTACTGGCACTAACTGAAATAAAGAAAAAAGGAGCAGGAGAAATGATCGTGGAAGATTACACTATAATGTATAGCGGTGTAGAATCATCAATATGGGCACAAGCAGGAGTGGGATGTATTGTCAAAAACGATTTTATGAGCAGAATAAAAAGGTGGGAAGGAGTTAATGAACGAATTATGGTCGTTGAAGTAAGATTTGATGAGGACAAGTTTTGGACAGTTATAATAGTATACGGACCCAATGAAAATGACAATAAAAATAGTAAAGAAAAATTTTGGGATGAACTACAGGAAGTGTATGAGAAAAGTAGCAGTCCCATCTTGATAGTTGGTGATCTGAATGCTAGAGTGGGCAATGAAGTAAGAAATAGCAATGGGGTAATAGGAAGTTTTGGAGAGACAATTAAAAATAAAAATGGCGAACTATTAATTGACTTCTGTAACTCAAACGGACTAATAATTTTGAATACATGGTTTCAACACAAAGAAATACACAAATTCACCCGTGTTGCGCCAACACGAAATGAAAAGTCAATCATTGATTATATCATAACAGAAAAAAATCTGAGAAACAAAATACACGATGTTAAAGTCAGTAGACTTCCGGAATTGGGCAGTGACCACTTCCTAGTTGTGGCAAAAATGAATCTAAAAGAAGCGAACATTTCCAAAGACACAATGAAAGCAACAAGTAAAGAGAAGAGAACTGTAAGGACACATAAGTTAGCCAATGAAGAAATAAGAAGCAATTTCACAAAACTTACAGAAGAGAAATTTAAAAGAATGGAGGTACAGCAGCAAACACTCGAACAAAGGTGGAAGTTCTTTAAAGATACAATCTATGATGCAGCTAGAAAAGTTTGTGGATTTACTACAACAGGAGGATCTAAGAAAAGAACTAGCTGGTGGAGTGAAGAAACAAAACTCGCTATTAAAGAGAAGAAAAAATTATGGAAAGCTTATCTAGCAAATAGTAAGTACAAGACAATCATATGAAATGTATAAAGAGGGCAGAAAACTAGTCAAAGATATAGTGAAGAAAGCAAAAGTTAAGGAATGGGAACAATTTGGCGAAAAAATGGAAGAAAACAGCAAGCAAAATCAAAAATTGTTCTACGGCGTTCTGAAGAGAATGAGAGGAAAATCAGGAGGTACCCTAGGACAGATAATGAACAAAAACGGGGAGTTGCTTACGGAACCTGCTGATATTGCTGATAGGTGGGGAGAATACTTCTCAGAACTTTTAGAAGCAGATGAATCAGAAGAAACACCAAATGATCATCGAAGCAACTACACAACAATCAGAGACGAAGACATTTCGATACAAGAAGTAATTGCAGCCATTAGAAAACTGAAAAACGGGAAAGCAGCAGGCATTGATGACATTAAAGCGGAATGGCTGAAGTATATGGGACTATCAGCGATCAAATACTTTTGTAATATAATGAATGAGGCTTGGAAACAAAAACGAATACCTGAAGACTGGTCAACTGCAGTGATCACCCCTATATTTAAGAAAGGAGACAGAAAGAGGTGTTCGAACTATAGAGGAATTTCGATACTAAGCGTACCAGGGAAAGTATATGAGATTTTACTAGAAAAGAAACTAAGAGACTCGATAGAAAATAGTCTACACGATGCGCAGAGTGGATTCCGACCCGGACATAGTGTACAAGACCATATCTTCACCATTAAGCAATTAACCGAAAAGTTCCTGAAACACAATAGAGAGCTGTACATATGTTTTATAGATATGGAAAAGGCCTTCGATAAAGTCCCTAGGAAATGTATTTGGGAAGCATTAAGAATATCTGAAGTCGAACCCGGACTAATTGAAGGAATCAAATCCACTTACAAATCAAGCTGGAACATAGTGAGAGCACTTAATTGTGAATCCCCAAGATTTGGGACAACCCAGGGAGTGAGACAAGGGGGGGTGCTGAGTCCACTATTGTTCTTGATATTCATGAATGGCATCATAAATAAATGTAGTGCACAATCCCAAAGAACAGAAGCTGGTTACCATCGATTAAGAAGCGTTAAAGTGAGTGAATGTATATTTGCAGATGACATTGCACTAATAGCGAGCTCCGAGCAAGCACTTCAAACCAATCTAAACATTTGGGCCAGAGAACTATCGGTTAACGGAATGACAATCAATCTTGACAAAACAAAAGCCCTAGTCATATCCAATTCTCCTAAAGAAATTAACATCCTTCTGAATGGAAATAAAGTGGAGCAAGTAAAAGAATATGAGTATTTAGGAGTCAAGATAGATGAAGAAGGAAAACTACAAAAAGAACTAGACAGTAGAATTGCGAAAACAACAAAACTATACCATTCCTTGAAAAAAGGTTTTATTAATAAGAAAGAAGTCAATAAGAAGACAAAAATAACTATTTACAAGACGGTATACCTCCCTACACTCCTGTACGGATGTGAGACATGGACCCCTACTGAAAGACAGACAGTTGAGATGAAGTATCTACGCAGAGTACAAGGAGTAACAATAATGGACAAAATCAAGAATGAGACAATTAGGAATAATCTCAATGTAGAGAGCGCCAACAGTGTAATTGAAAGATCACAACTAAGATGGTTTGGACACTTAAACAGGATGAACCAAGATAGACAAGTCAAGAAAATTTGGGAAGCTAGAGAATATGGTAAAGTAAGAAAAGGAAGGCCACGTAAACGTTGGAATGACGTGATTTCTGAAGCACTACAACGAAGAGGAATTACCTGGCCTGAAGTGAAACAAACGGCACTCAATAGAAAACAGTGGAGAGAACTCATCAGGAAGTAATGGACATCTATCCCTCAACACCTAACGGTAGAAGAGGAACCGGTTATATATATATATATATTTCTTTTTTTTCTAGATGATCCTAATACTTCAGTAGGTAACAGTTGATGCTCAAGTAGCATCTCGATACAATAAAAAATGAAAACAGTGACAGTGTTCAACCATCAAGGCAAAAATCGAGTCATCAAAATATGAGTTAGTATGGGCTAATGTGTTTTTCAAACTGACTGCAACTTTTGACGACGTTCCACGTTGATGAAAGTCTCCATCTTTAGTCATAATTCACTCTTACAACGATCCTACTCGTTTTCTAAGCTGCTTTACAGACAGCTCAGTCATTTGCCACGCCGATGCTCATTTTTAGATTAAATGCTCACAAAACGCGTAGATGTTCAATTTGTGTCCGGGGAGATACAATGTTTCCAAGTAGGTACTCAGTACATAGAGTAGATGCCCAGGTATATAAAAGTAATACTGAAATAGGTACTTCGTACTTCGAATATGAGTATCTACTCAGTTTTATTCATACCACCCAATGTCTCGCTTCAATGTTCGATTATGTTGATTATGAGCACAACGTTGATCAACTTCCGTATCCGAATTACCCATGAAATAAATCATTGCGGTTTGCACCTGAGGTAGTTCGTCGCACATTTGATTGACTTCGTGAACCTATGTCAGCTTGTCGTCTTCTCTGCATTGTAATGAACTTCATAAAATGACACAGAATTATTTTCACAGTCAATCAAATTTGTAAATTTTGTCTTGAGAATTTTAAAATATTGAAAACTTCAAATTAAATCCTCGAATAACGGTAAAGTTTGAGGTTTTGTCGAAACCAACAAAGTGAATATAGTTAAATAGAATGGTAGATCAAAATTAATAAGAAACTTCCGCAATGTGTAACTAAATTCACTTTAACCAAGACTTTTCTTACAATAAACGACGTTTTTTTTTACGAAAAAACAAAGAACGATTTGAGATGCAATATACTTTTCACAATCGCACGGAAGAAATAGTTTTGTATGGCACGTCAGTTAGATGACAGGTCCGTCAGGAACGCCAACTATTGAAATTAATTCGAAGTGGCGATTCCCATACAAAATTTTTAGAATTTTTTAGCTGTTCTTTTAAGTTTTCCCTATTTTTTTTTATTTGTAAACCCCGTAATATACAATAATTCTTCAAATCGGTCAAGCCGTTTTTGAGTTTTAGCGAGACTAACAGGAACAGCAATTGATTTTTATTATAGTATAGAAGATTAAAAAATGGGGGTTGGTGGTAGAAAGGTGAAAATTTAGGGTTATATATATTTTTTGATGCCAAATCTTAAAAAAATAAAACTAAAAAATGTTATCAAAAAAATAAACAAAAACTTTTTAGGGTGGGCCACCCTTATCACTTTGGGGTATAAAAAATAGTTTACAACCTATCAGACCTACCAAATATACATGAAAAATTTAATACAAATCGGTCAACCCATTTCGAAGGAGCTCGGTTACAAACACTGTGACGCGAGAATTTTATCCATA